ACAAATATATTTTGGAAGGATAGTCAGGGGACATGCCCATGAGTAGACACAGAGTGACAACGCCCAGCACACGTGGAACTGGCTGAGGGCAGTGTGTGGTGCTGAAAGGTAGTAGGTGACAGTGAAGACTGAAAGAGGATTGACGAAATTGGATTTGTGTTACAAGGTATGTTCTGGGCCCCTTGTAGAGAATGCTAGGAGGAGGCAGTAGTGCAAGAGGATAGTCATTTTGGAAGCTTGAAGCACTGGCAGGAATTAACTGTGGTCCCAAGCAAGTTATTCAGGACCGATGGAGAGAGATGGGAGATTTCTGAGATACCTGTGCTACTCACAAACTGAGAGTTAATTCTCCACCAGTCACCCAAATTTCTGCAAATCTATGAAAAAGGAACACGTTGTTTTCATTCTAGATTCTCTTCTCAAGACCATTAAATCATGGATAACCTTCAAAAATAGAGGTAGTGTGTTTCCTGTTGGAGTATAGAGGAAGTAGACATTCTGTTCAATATATAAGATTCCAGCTTTATAGCTCAGGGTTCGCCTCCTCCATTATGAGTCAATGGGTGTGCAGGTCCTGCCTGTCTGCCATGTCATGATGTGGGGATTGGGTTTCAGGGAACATTGCCACTGTTCCTGCTACTCTTTCTCTGAGTGATGTCATCTTTTTTCTTTGACCCAATCATTTTTTCTCATCTCCTGATGTCCATGATATGCTAACTTGATGGTTTGAGGGAGCCACATCCCATACTGTTTAAATTAATTAAAATGGAATAAAGTTTGAAAATGCCAACTCCCCCGTTGTACTACCCATGTTTCAGGTGCTTAATAGAATAGCCACATGGGACCCGACTCTATGGGGAATTGCTAGTTTAAAACTTGAGATTTTTTTTCTGTGTTCATGGTAAGTAGGAGTTGATAATTTTGACAATAAATAGAATGCTTATTTTTATGTTAGATTTGCATGAATTTCTCTGTATAGATGGGATATTGAAGGTGAGGATGTAATGACATCACTAAACGCAGGATAAATGATAAATGCCTGTTTATTGGGGACAATTACACAGAAAAATACAAGGAACCGAGGGCAGAACATTTCCCTGTGCTTCCTGCCAGATCCGCTGACCCACCAGAAAGAGCTCACCAAGGAAATCCACGCCTCAAGATTCTCTCTTTCCACTTCTGTCCGCCTGAAACCACACCCAAAGGGGTGTGGCCACCATTACAGGCCCATGGATCACACGCCTATAGGATGTTTCAGTTTGAATTAGATATGCTTAGCTGGGAAGGAAAAATACAAAATTACTTATACTGTTGTCTTGAAGTCATGTGACAACAGAAATTCTGTGGCATTCCTCAAAACTGTGTCGAACTGTGGGTTTCAGATATGTTTGAACTTGTGGAAACTATCTTGAGTTTCTTCTTAGTGTGAAGGACTGCAAACTGCAAGTTGGCTGTGTGCATCTGGAACATATCTGCTCCAGCAGTTACCAGACAGTGCCTCTGCTGACACAGCTTGCTGGCCTAGACTGACATAAGGTAAAGGACAGGAACACACGGTTTCCACATGGCTCTTGGCCAGAGAACATCAGAGGTCAGACTCAAAACAGAAGGAATTGAACTTGAATAATAAAGAATGTATTCTTGACAACTTTGAGTGACCCAGCAGAATCAAAGGGCAGTGCCAAGTAGCCTCTTTGTCCCTTGTCAGGGAGGAGAAGCTCATTATGAGCTGCATGGACCACAAGGAGTTAGAATTGAAAGCACAGAGAATGTCAGGCCCAGCAGTATTAGCTGCAGCCGGGGAAGACAGTTTTTTCTCTGTATTCCTTTGAGGATGCTCTTGCCTGTTTGTCCTAGACAACACAGAGGACAGCTAGAGAAACAACAGTGAATGATGAAGCTCTTACAAGATGACATAGTAAGTCAAAAATATCTTATTATAAATGTAAGCTATTACAAGATCCATTTGTCATTGCCGAGAGATATCTTAGAAGGATTATTTGTAGGTGCTGGAGAGATGGCTCATGTTGCTCTTGGAGAGGACCAGAGTTCGGTTCCCAGAACCCCATTGGACAGCTCACAATTACCTGTCACGCTAACTCCAGGGGGATCTCAAGGCCCCTGGTCTGCACTCATGTGAACATATGCACATCCATACACGTACACATGATTAAAGAAATAATAAAAAATGCATTATTGTATTTGTAGGACAGTGACTTTTTACTTATGTAAAAACTAATTGAGAGTCCCAGAATTTTTGACTTTTAGAGTATTTAAGTATTGACTTCTTTTTTTTTTTAAGGTACCTATATCTACAACCCAGACTTTACTAAGGATGCTACCTCCCCTTTGCAGTTTGGAGACTTTTAAACGAGATAACTCAGTATTGAATTATTGATAATGGCAATATTTAAAGAAAATATTTTTGTAGGTTATACATGTATTTCTCATATGCATAAGTAGTTGCACCAGAAAGTCCTTATTATTGTAGATAACCTTCCCATTTTGGTAGATTTGGGAAAAGCCTAAATACCTCTTTGCTGTCTCTTTTGGTTTTTCAAGACATTGTTTCTCTGTGTAACAGCCCTGGCTGTCCTGAAACTAACTCTATAGACCAGGCTGGCCTCAAACTCACATAGATGCAAGAACTGCCTGCCTCTGCCTACCAAGCGCTGGGAGTAAAGGTGTGTGCCACCACCACTCAGCCTGTGTATTTCTCTTAAGGCTTGCACTAGCATGAAAATTGCCTTCTGTTCCTCCTACAATCCCTCTTCTCTGCCTCTTTACCTTGGAGGGAGTGGTTGTTCCCTGGGCCTTCATTGTCTTTCTGATCAGTTTGCCACAGTTGTTACCCGTGCTGCTGGTTCCCTTTGCTGCCGTTCTCTGCCCATACATTGTATGGGATTAGGAATCCTCACTCTTACTTTGGGAGACAGTCCGCACCAGCTTCTTGCTTCCTTTAGTAGGCAGGGGTTTAGAAAACTGATGGCAGTAAAACTGGAAGATATGGTTGAAATTGTAGGTGTGTGTCCCTCTGAAATAAAGTCAGGGGTCTTGCTGCGGACTACATGTGTAGGTTCAGTGGAAGGAAAGGATACCAGGTTGTTTCTCATGCTCATCAATCTTCCACCTTCCTTTAAGGAGGCCTACAGTAAGGAAGTAATAGCAAACTAATAAGCCTTTCTTTTCCCCCCAGAGAATTTAGAATTATATGGATTGTAATGTTTGGGGAGTGAAGCCCCGACAATGGGGGTCATAAAAACAGGTCTTGTCCTTTAGAATAGGATGCCCTGTGTACTTAGAAGTTCTGGTGTGTACATTTTCTTCAGCTGCACATGAGTGACTTAAATTAGGACCGTAGTGCCTTTTTCCTGTTAGACGCCATTTTTTCCATGGCCCCGCCTCACTTAGCTATTACTGTATGCCTAACTGACCAGAATGAAACAGCTTTACCACATTTTCCAGGGAGCTAAGGACTTTTGGAAATTTTTTTCTTTTTCTTTTTTTTTTTTTTAGAATGGAAAATGCCAAGGAGAGAATATTGCAATTTTCTTTTCTTTTTTTTTTCTTTTTTCTTTTTTCTTTTTTTCTTTTTTTGCAAAGGTAAATGTTTCTAGAACAGAATGGCGAGTCAAGGAGCTGTTAATAGGATATGTAAATGTAACCTTTCACCCAGTTACTGTCACTACCTAAGTCATAACTGTGTGGTTTCAGTAAATTGTTTGAGCTGGATCTTGTCTGGTTCCTTAATGAGGTGGATTCTCTGGGGCCCATTGCTTTGCAGTTGGTCATGAATCCAAGTTTTTACTGTCCTGGGTTCCCCTTTGCTGTTTTAATGGCAGTTCACCATCAGATGATAGAGTTTTACTGATGTATTCACCTCCAATTTCACTTTAGTATTTGTCGATTGTTTGTATATTAATGTGTCAGACAGTGACTTCTAGTCCTTTGGTTCCCAATAAACTATGTTGACATTTATTTAATAAATACTTATTCAGTGCTTGTCATGTGTAAGACACTACACAGTGCTCCCTCCCCTTTCCTTCCTGCTTACTTTTCCAGGGCCAAGGATGAAGTCCAGGACCTTGTACGAGCTTGGCCGATGCTCAGCCACAACTTCTATTTCAAGCTTAACACAGCATTCTTGACTTTAGAGATACGAGAAGGGCAAAGCATGAACTGTACAATCACGGAGTAAAGAGTTAAGGGAAAAGACAACCGTTAGTTACATGTACACGTTATAACAATAAAAACTTACAGATAATTATATTAGAACGGGGGTAAATAGATCTGGACAGCACACTGCGATTGTGTGTGCTTGCATAACGGGGGTCTGCAGAAGGGATGCTTGATTAATAGCTGACGACTGGTGGGTAAGCTTGTGACAGAGTGGGAAGCAGGTAGAGAAAAGTGTTATTTGATCAGAAGATCTCTTACAGAAAGTCACAAGATGAAAGGAAGCAATGGAGGGTAACCTTTGGTCCTGGGACTGGATGAGTCTGGACTCCTGGTTCCATTCATACAGGAAGTTCCTGCATGTGTTAAATTTTAGTTTTTACTCTAGCAACAACAATGAGGACTGTTTAAGTAGCACCCGGGAGTTGTGTTGGAGAAGATTACTTGTGAGGGAGGTATATTGATTGAGCAGAGCCTGGGCTTCACCTTGGAGAAGCTGAGTAGCTGCTGCATATAATCAAGTAGAAGGGATGAGAGGTGTCTGTGATGGACTGGAGAGGTGACTCGGTGGTTAAGAGGACGCAGGTTCAGTTACAGCACCACAGGGTGGATCATGAGTGTATGTAATTCTAGATCCAGAAAAGTCCCTCTTCTGCCTCCATGGGCTCTTCAAACCTATGGCACAGAGACATATATGCCGGCAAAACAGCAACACACATAAAATAAAGGAGAGGGAGGGAG